GGATGGGGTTGTTTGTTTCTTTCTTGTTAAGTCATATGCTGCTTACATATTCTGGAAATCAAGCTTTTGCCGGTTTCATTTGCATATACAGAATAGATAAATAAGATTATACTGTATAGCACAGGGAACTATATATAAGATCTTGTGGTAGCTCACATTGAAAAAAAATGTGACAATGAATATATGTATGTTCATGTATAACTGAAAAATTGTGCTCTATAATGGAATTTGACACATTGTAAAATGACTATTAACTCTAAAAATGTTTTTTAAAAAAGGAAAGGAAAAGGCTATCATTGACAGAAATAATAAGAAACCATTGAACTTTTAAACAATTTTTAAAGGTTGCATTATGGATCACCTGCTAGCTCTTTCCTATGGGGTTCTACTAAGAGCACAGGGGTAATACACTGAAGGCTGGGGACAGGGTGGAAGAGCTGGGAGAAAGCCTTCGAGGCACACCAGTTCTGCACTGAGTGTTGGGCAGTGGCTCCCCAAAGGCAGAGGGCAAAGCAGACAGAAACCTCCTGAGGCATAGAAAGCTGACAAAGGAAGAAACATTTGAGGATTGTTGTGTAGGAGAGGAAGTAAGCTTTGTAAGGGGCACTTGAGCTAAATGAAGAATGGCAGTCAGGTAGTAGATGAGCACTTATCTGAGAGCCAGCAGAAGGAACTCCATGGAATAGTAAAGTAATATATATCTTTGATACCCGAAGTCTGGTCCCTAGACAGCTGTAGTGGCATCACCTGGTAGCTTGTTAGAAATGTAGAACCTCAGCCTCACCCCAGGCCTACTGAAACATTTTTTATTAATTAAAATTAAATAATTTTTAATTTCAACAGGACCCCTAGGTGAGTCATATGCACATTTAATTTTGATAAACATGACCTTTTAAGATGCATTCTAATCCTTAAAATTCTACTTTAATAATACAGTTGTGTGTAGTGAGCTATATTAAAACTAAATGCATGGTCCAGAAGGAAGGGTTCAGTGTAGGTAATCAAAGACTTCACTGAGGAATCAGGAGTAGAGCTGGTCCTTAAAACCTGGAGGAAGAGGATGGTCATGTCATGAGATAACATAAATAAGGATACTGATGCAGAAGTAGTGGTATGGACCAGCCCACCTGGCAGTGGTCAGGGAGATTAACTAGGACTGTTACCATAGTTCCTGCTAATATACCTCTGAACCCAACTTTTCAGAAAGAGATGTCACATATCTTGTCCCCATGGAGCTTAACCCAGATACTGAATAAAATGGTCTGAATGCTCTAATGGAGGCTGAGGCAAAGGGCTATGGTAGCACAGGGAAGAAGCAATTTATTCTGGCTTGGAGAGTCAGAGATGACTTAACTGAAGAAGAGGCATTTGAGCTGAGTTCTGAAGGTAGTGGGGACAAAGGTATTACAAGTTGAGCAAATATCTGAACAGTGCCAGGTAAAGAATCAGTCTGACTTGGCTAGAGTGTAAGGCGTATCAGAGGAGGGAGTGGGTGTGAGCCTGGGGAGAACTTGTAGGCATGGATCAGAGGGCTTGAATGTCTGTTGGAGTGTCTGATTTATTTGTAACATAGGCAATAGAAAGCCACCATCAGTTTTAGTTGGGGAGCAATCTGATTAAGCCCACTTTTTATGAAGATTAATCTGGCAGTAATAAATTAGAGACAAGATCACTGTTCCTGATAGCAGGTCTTTACTGGGGTGATAACAACATGATTGTAAAGGTGAATCAAAATGAAAAATGTTTCAAAGGAGAATGGGCAGATCCTATCAATGAATTTGATTCTGATCTTGAGTCAGTAATGGCATTAATCATGAAAAAAATGCAAGAGGAGGTGCAGGTTTAGGAGGAAAGATTTAGGAGTTCAGTTTAAGTCATCCTAAGTACACACTGTTCCCTGCCTAGCTCACAAGACTTTCCTCCCCTCTCTTGCTAGAACTTCATTATAAGAAATGATGTTTGCGTCGCTAATTATTAGAGAAATGCAAATCAAAACTACAGTGAGATACCACCTCATGCCAGTCAGAATGGCCATCACTAAAAAGTCTATAAATAACAAATGCTGGAGAGGGTGTAGAGAAAAGGGAATCTTCCTACACTGCTGGTGGGAATGTAAATTGTTGCAGCCACTATGGAAAACAGAATGGCAGTTCCTTAAAAAACTGAAAATAGAGTTGCTATATGATCCTGCAGCCCCACTCCTGGGCATATATCTGGAGAAAACTCTTAATTCCAAAAGATACATGCACCCCAGTGTTCATAGCAGCACTATTTGCAGTAGCCAACACATGGAAACAACCTAAATGTCCATCAACATACTATTCAGCCATTAAAAAAAAATGAAATAATGCCATTTGCAGCAACATGGATGGACCTAGAGATTATCATACTAAGTGATGTAAATCAGAAAGAGAAAGATAAATACCATATGCTATCACTTATATGTGGAGTTTAAAATATGACACAGGGAACAATACCCTGTAATAAACCATAATGGAAAAGAATATGAAAAAATATGTATATATGTATAACTGAATCACTTTGCTGTACCCCAGAAACTAACACAACATTGTAAATCAACTATATTTCAATTAAGAAAATGATGTTGTCTCTCAGGTGACCGTATCTCACTTGTCATTGTCTAATCCATGTTCTGTGGTAAGCTCTGCTATTCAACGTGCAAAAGTGATGTAAAAATAAAAAGTCAACTCAGGTGCTGATGGGCATGGTGCCATCATTGTATCATCAGTTTAAATTTAGAAATTAATTTACTTAAAATCGAGAAATGAAAAGGTATAGCAATGCTTTTATCACATGTACAGTCTTAAATGCCACTTTCTAAAGAGAGGGCTCATAGAGACACTCCTTTCCCCATTATTAAAAAATCCATTAAACCTGTGTTAAAGCTAATTATGTTCAGTTGTATTAGATTCACATGCAAATAAAAACTTGGGTAGTTACTATACATTGACCTAAATACATAAAATAAAGAAGATAAAACGGTCTCTTAGAAAATCTATCATTTTGGAATGTGAGACTGATTTGGGAGCTGCTGAAGCGTCCCGATTAAGGTTGTGGAAAGAAGTTGCAATTGATGATGTCTTGGAAGAAATGACATTTTTTAAAAAGAATATTCTTTGGCAAGATAAGTAGATTGTAATTTACAGAAAACACACCTTTTAGTTAATGAGACACCGGGGTAGACTGAATCGTTGTGCCCAATGTTTCATGACTTTTCCATGTTAAAATTAGTCATTCATGTCCTTTGCCCCATGACTCTGCCATTCCTCCCAGTGTTTCTCCAACTTGCTAATGTTGGGCTTGGCCACATGACTTATTTTGGTCCTTAGAATGTGAATGGAAGTAACAGGGGGACCATCCTAGCCAAAGCCTGAAGAGGCATCCTGTATCTTCTCTCCCTCTCTTGTGCCCTGCCACATAAGGGGAACATGGCCCAGGAAGCCACCAGACAAGGAGAGTGTGTAATATGTCAGGCTGGAGCCAGACGAACTGCAAGAAGTAGAGATACTAACTGACTTGCAGATCCAAGGATGTGAAAATCAATGTTTATTGTGGTAAGCCACTGAAACTTTGAGGTTGTTATAAGAAATTTAAAAAGTAAAACTAGCACAAACTAAAAGAAATACCTGGCTCGTGAGCACAGATGGCAGTTATTAGAATCTGAATCAGAGAGCGATGAGACCAGTTTGGGTGAAATTCTGCTCACTTTTCAAACTGACAATAAATAAGAATATGTTTTAATAGTAACTTTACTATTGTATGGTAAACTTTGCTCTGTGAGCTATTAGGAAACTAACCTTATTTTAATATTCAAATTTACATTTTGACTAAGGATAAGCATCCAAATTATCTGTATTATCTTTGAATCCAGATTAAATTTCCCAAAGGTGTTTCATCAGGCATATTGGCCTGAATAATAGGCATCTCTCTTCACAGGAAAAGGCAACAAAACCTGAGCAATAAAGTGAAATTCTGAGCTGAGATCTTTAAAGCTTGTTAAGAACAATCTTAAACTTTATATACAATAAATAATAACAAGAATGTTATAGCATCTATAGCTGTGAAAAAAAATTCCCCCTCAAGAGAAAGACAGAATATTATTGCCTGTGTCTTTTTAGCTTTGCATATACTTGTAGACAATGTGCTATTCAATATAGTAGCCATGAGTCACAGGTGGCTATTGAGCAGCTGAAATGTAGTCCTGATTAAGGTGTGCTGTAACATGATATACACAACAGGTTTCAAAAACTTAATATAAAAAAACAAATATCTCATTAATAACATATATTAATTACATGTTGAAATGGGTTCTAGGTACTTTCACCTTAAACATCTTTGCCATAGACATCACTGCCACAAGCATTTTTACTGCAAATATTTGCATTGAATAATTGATTGGCTGTGAGGCAAATTCCCTGTAAAAGATGAAATAACTGGTTGACAGGTTTGGGTTTGACACTTTGGTTTCAACTGGTTGAAATGCGTTAGCATTTCTTCCACTTGGTGACATTATTAATGGCTTTATTGAGCTGGTAGATTTACCCCAAGAGTTGGTTTCTTATTTTGAGACACAGTACATTGGAGGAGAAAGAGGCCAAGGTTCTGGAAGGTGCAGAGTTGAACCCACATTTCCCACAGAACTTAGGAACGTCTATCAGTGGGCATGTGACAATATGCCAAAAACAAACAACAACCATGTAGAAGCTTTCACGACACAATGCAAAGCTCAGTTACAAAGATGCCTCTAAGTATTTGGAAACTGGTATCTCTTTTAGTGAAGGAAGAAATTTTAGCAAAAAAGGAAAAGTACAATGCCAAATGAGGAGGAGAATATCAATGAGCAAAAACTAACAAACAAAATATATAAAATGCTATGAATGAAAGATTTGGAAGCCAGGTGCTTAGGTATAACCCACAAAATAAATTCAGTTATTTGCCCAGTATTGCCACAAACCTATACACATTTTAAATGTACTCAAATATTTTGTATTTCACAATAAAGCCTTGAATTTTGTTATTCATTTCAGTATGCTTTTTAAATATCCCTCTTTTGTTTTTCATTATTTTATCTTTTATGGCAAAACTGCTTTACAGCCAAGTAGTTATGCAGTGAAAATGTTTGTGGCAAAGATGTCTCTGGCAAAGATGCTTACAGCAAAAGAACCTAAAACCAGCAATAACTCTCTCACTAAATTAAACCCCAGGTCAGTAAGATATGGCATGGCTTTAAAACTGAGTGATCATCTTTGTGGTGCAACTGGTTAGCATGTTTGGCTGTTAATGGAAAGGTTGATGGTTCAAGCCTACCCCAGGATGGTCCTGTCTCCAGCCAGTTTCTTGGTGATGAAAATATTCTGGAACTAGATAGGGGTGACAGTTGTACAACATTGTGAATGTATTAAATGCCACTAAATTGTTCATGTTATAATGGTGAATTTTATGTTATATGCATTTTACCACAATAAAAACAAAACCCCAATAGATGTATTGGAGGGTGCATTTTCCCAGCCCTGTGTTGTGGCTGTATTTTTCTTCCTGACATATGTACACCTACCATATAACATGCCCTGATATCTGAATGCCTATATATGTACAGCAGCTTTTTAAACAATCTGGTCTGGGTATTCCACTGTAGCATTTGGGGGTCACCCAGGAATATGTGACTCTTCCACATCCCTCTTTTGGTTTGGACTAACTATTGTATCAACTGCATAAGCACATAAATTCCTTTGCAAGACTCTTGGGCCTAGCACATATTTGCCTAGTCTAGAAAATTCTCCCATGCAAAGGGCAGGCTAGGAATGGGATATATGTCTGTCCTCTCCAAAGACATTTATAACTTTCTCAATAAATGGGAAAGAGGAAGGAGAAAGAGCCTGTAAGACCACAACTGACTCAGTTCCTGAGATTCTTCTTTTAGCCAGCGCAGCTTCCCAGCACAGGACTCAGGACTCTCAGTGCTTCTGGACAAAGTCATATTGTTCTTTTATATAGCAAAGATCATGAAAAGGAGGGAGGTCTTTAAGACCTACACAAGCACAGAGTACAAAAGAGAAAGGGGGGAGTTTGGAAAGACTCACAGCAGAGACAACGTCTGCCAGGAAGTCCTTGAGGCAGAGGATGGTGAATATCTCCCACGGAAAGGCTTCAACAAAAGCCAAGGAAGCTTCATGCTGGTCAAGACTGGCCTTGGTGAACAAGGAATCATGACCTTGTACACCTTGTGGAGGAAAGTGTTCCCTGGGCAAGTTTTCTTCTCACTCCAGCCAGCAGATTTCAGCTGCTCCTGCTATACCACGTCTTCCCAGAAAAATGAAGGCTTGTGAAAGGCAAATATGCATAAGAGGACCACTATAACCAGGATCAGGGAGAAGAAGACCATGAGGAAGACATAGGTGGAGTGGGGGAGAGGTGCAGACGGCGGCTCCTCAGCTGGAATCATGTTGGTCAGGTTCAGCATGTAGCCCAAAGTCCACCCGACGCTGGTGCTCCGGACCTGCAAACAGTGGGGAAAGTCTGTTGTTTCTGGTCTGAGGATTAAATGAGCTTTCACGCAACCCTATCCCTAATACTGAGCGGCCAGGAAGTGGAGGCAGCACGACATTCAGTTCTCTAAGTGAATTGTTTTATATTCTGAATTGGGAATATGGCTGTGGGGAAAAACTGAGAGGGAACAAGTAATTAAGAAGGAGAGTACGGGACCTCACTACTACATCCCAAAATTCAGAGAGGAATTTGGTAAATGACTGCCCAGTTCTCCTTCTTAGAAAAACTTAATTCAAATAGGCCTTTGGAGATTTGCATTCCTCTTTGGCTGTTTGTGTGACTGTGGGTGGGTGGGTAGGTGGGGTGGGGAAGGGGACTGGGGTGACAGGAAGCAGGCAGAGGATGAGAGAATAATGATTGTCCCGGGCCTCCTATATCTGTGGCAGGCCCAGGAATCTCATCCATACAAAACCAGGGTTCTTTTATGATTCAACTAGGGAAAAACTGGGGAATAATCCCAGCCAGTCAGTCTTACTCAGTGGAAGTTGAAGGACTGCATATGCCGAGAAAGGATTCTTCTTAAGTGAAAAAAAAAAAAAATTCTCCAACTTGGTCATCTTCCTAGGAATATTTTCAAGTCACCTCAAAACGTATTGAAATATAGGTAGTCCCTGAATAATAAATAATTCTGGAAATGTTTGTGTTACATGAGTTGTATGTAGTCATGGTATAAAAATTAGGACGTATAGATAATCCTAAAAGAGAAAACAAAAACACGTCTACTTCACCATTCAGAAGTTGCTGCTATTATCATTGTGTGACATAGGCTTCCAGGCCTCTATGTGCATGTTTTTCCTCACCAAAAAAAAAAAAAAAAGGAATTAAGCCGTATGTAGAATTATTCACTTAACAATTCCTTGTAAACCTCATCCCATGTCTCTTAAGGGATTTCTGCAATATCATCACTGATGTGAACTGCCTTATATGTTCTTTCTACTCGCTTTATTCAATTATTTGTAAATCCTAGAAATGGAGTATAGGGTAAAATGATGTACGTATTTTAAGAGTCCTAGCACATATTGCTGAAACAGTCTTCCCAAAGGTTATGCCAGTTTACATTCCAACCAAAATCATGTGGAATGTTCCTCTCCTCTAAACCTTTACCACTACTGGGAATTAATAATTTGTAAAAGGCCCACTTCCATTTATGGGGGAAAGGAACCTTATCTGACTGCATGAGTCAAGGGAGGCTCCAGAGTTAGAGGAGTTATCACTGAGGGTTTAGGAAAAAAAATGGATCAAAGAATATAAATCACTAGTAAATTTGACATAGATGTATCCCTCAAACAGAAAAAATAAACTGTGATGGAATGCAAGGAAGACTGGGATCTTAATACAAGGAAAAGAGTTGTGTTTGAATTAGCAAGACCAATATTGACAAGAGTGTGACAAAACTAGTATCTTCAAGGCTACTACAGACCTCTGCCTCGATGCTTTGTTTTGATCGTTTTTGCCATTAGTGGATGTGGGTTTAAAAGATAGAGAAATACTGCCCTTGATATCTGTCATCAAACATGAGTTTGCTTATGAGTCTGGCTGCTGATGTAAAGGTTGCTCTGTGCCTAGATACCTGCAGGTGATGCTGTGGTAATGCACAGCTGTGAGGCTGCTTCTTTAAGGCTCACGCTAAGCCTGGCTTCTAAGCAAAAACTTCCATTCACAGCCACTTGCCTTCACAGCTAGCTTTCAGATCGGCCAGTCTTTAAGGTACAACTAACAAGGCCTTCACCTCTTATGAGAAATCACGATCATCCTTTCTGGATTCATGGAAGGAAATGGATGTTGAAGTCAGCACAAAGAATCACTGTGGCTATTGAAATACTGTTAGATTACTTTAATATCTCATTTTTTTTCTTTTATATGGGAACAATCACTGCTATGTGAGCAGAAAGGAGAGGCTGACAATACAGGGAGCTCTCTCTCGATAGGACAGCTCAACATACAGGAGGGCCTGACACAAAATGCCAGCCTGGGTTGGAGGTGAAGTGGTAGAACAGGACTCAGGCCAAAATGGAAGTCAGGTTGACTCCCAATTCTTACCAGCTCAGAGATGCTTCAGTTACTACCACCCGACCTCCCCCAACCCAACAAACCTTGCCCATGAAATGGATATTCTTCCAGGTCTCAGCTGTAAAATGATAGCCATTCAGAAGAAGAGTGAGGATGTAGGTGCCAGAAAAGCAGTATTCACTCAGGTAGTTCTCCTTCACATCACTAAAATACACCTGCAGCTGGAAATGGAGTGAAGAAAATATCACACTTGTACAACAACAGGCGCGTCTCCATAGCCCTCATTTTCACTATCAGAGCTGATCTAGAGGAGGAAGCCTGGCTCACAGGGACCTGAGAGGCAGCCCCTGTAGAGGGCTTTGGGAGTGGTGCTGCACCCCTTGAGTAGGCGCCAGGGGTTATAGCATAGGGTCTGTTAAGGAATCTTTTCCTCCACGGGGTTCTATGAGATATTAACAAACGCTCCAGGAAAAAAGTAGTTTCTGTGATCTAATATGTTCAGAAACACTGAATTTTACTATAGTTTCCCATCCTTTGGCATACTAAAAGCTGTGTAAAATCTTGCATGAAAGGAATATATTAATCTTTGTTTAATCAGAGTTTTCTGTATGCTCTTGACCAAAGTCTTGGGTTTAGAGCCTCTATAAGCATCTTTAAAAATGGTCATAAAAAGCCTTGACACTCAGTTTAGTTCCTGAACCAGCAGCGTCGGCATCTGCTGAGAGCTTGTTAGTCCTCATTCCCGATCTGCTGGCGCAGAATACGATCCCCAAGTGATCACACACGGTAACATTTGAGAAACACAGCTCTGGAATCCAGTTTAGGAGGCATTTTGCTCAAGACTCCAAGATGCTCATCTTTCTCCACAAATCATCACTAGCTGCAGAAAGCCCCCTGTAAGTGTTTTGTAAAGTGCTGAGGCATATTTGAGCAGATCTTTCCGAAAGCCCTGAATACCCTTCCTTCAGGTTCTAACTCAGACAAAATACTTAGGGAAAATTCCAAATGTCCAGGTTCTTGCACAACCTTCCTTCCTCCTCTGTCAGTGCCCATGAGAAAAGCATTCATTTTTAATTAATTACGTATCTTCAGAATGAAAGCACCATTTACTTTTGCAGCAGTGTCAACTTAAAACAGCTGCTGTTTTTGGCCACTTCTAGATGATCTGTTTTTTTTAAATCAGAGTAGACTCCATATCTTTCTCTCTCCTCCCTGGAAACTTCCATCAGTTAGCACTGAATATTGAATGACTCAGTGCCACAGACAAGAAAAAATTTGTGCTTCAAATTTATGAAATAGTAGGAGACATCTTGGACCTGGCCGATGGAGAACAAGTCTTACCACAATGGCAATCTCTCTGTAGCAGATTCTATGACTTGCCTGTCTCCCTTTGGGGTTGGAGTTGGGGGAGGGGAGTGGGCAACAATGTGCCCAGCTCCAGGAAGTAGCGTATAATAAATCTAGGGCTCTAAGCCAGTCCTAAAATCCTGCACCCTGCTTTCCCAGCCTGTCCTGGCCAATAAGATGTAAGAGAAAGGCTCGTGAGGAGTTTCCGGGACAGCTTTTGCCTTCCTGTAAAAAGGAACAGATGTCTCTGGCACTACCCTTCTGATCTTGAATATGGCTGTGATCCCTGAAGCCACACCGTGCTTCCATGAGGAAACAGGCCTAACAACAACTGAAGAACTAATGGCTGAGACGGTCCTACGGCTGCCTATGAAGGACTTCAAATTAGGCGCAAAAAATAAGACCTTTTCTGTTTAAGCCACTGTATGCCAAGTTATCAAGGAATGCCGGTGAACCTTATTCCTGACTTGAGTGCACCGTCTGGGCTTCTCTAACACGTTTGCTGTATCTTGATCATGTTAGCATGACCTGAAGAGCAGACTCCCATCCTCCATGCTGTCAAGGGCACAGGGCAGTGGTAACAGCTGCTGTTTCCGGCCATTTACCTTTTCCCAAGGCTGAGAGCAGAACTCTTCCATCATGTCAGTCATCTTTTTTGGAGATAAGTGTTCCTTTGATGTAAGGTTTAAAAACTCCATCACATAATAAAAAGCTGAAAATGCCTGCAAGAGAAAAATACTGAGTTTCGTGCAGTGTCCAACACAGGGGGACATTGATTCACTCTCCAGAGAGCCAAATGCCTAGTGAAAGTGCCTGGACATCTCAAATGAGTAAATTACTGGACCAAATGATATTCCAGACACAAGAGCTGCTTCCTTCCTGGAAGAGGGGTCATTTTGCTGCTGACATGCTTTTCTGAGCCACCTGGTAGTTAACTTTCTCTGTAATTTTAATGGGAGAGTCAGGGAGAAAGAAAGATGGGGAAAAGAGAAGAGAGGAAGAGGTTACAAAAATCCTATCTAAAAAACTAGGGGAGAGTATAGCTCAGTGGTAGAGCACCTGCTTAGCATGCACAAGGTCCTGTGTTCAATCCTCAGTACCTCCATTAAAAAAGTAAATAAGTAGGCCAAATATATAAAAAAGAAAAATAAAACTATGAGACATCCTTTTACACCATTCAGATTGGCAAAAATTAAAGAAAATATGAAAACAAAAAAAAAACTATGTATTATGTATGAATTTTTAACAAATAAAAACTGGAAAATTCTATACAAAGGTAATAGAAGTGATCCCTGGCAAAATTATAAGGTTTTTTTCTTTTTTTATTCATATCCCCTTTTTGCCTGTTTTTATAATGTACAATGTTTTGCTTTCTTTAAATAGCCTATCTTTATTTAACATTTTTTTTGCAAGTCTATGATGAGCTAGTAAATTAAACCTTTAAAAAAATCAATGCCATCACATATGAGAACTATATAAAAAGTTAAAAGTACAAATGAGTAAAAAAGGAAACATTCTAAAGTAATGGAAATAAAAACAAAAATAAACAAATGGGACCTAGTTAAACTTAAAAGCTTTTGCACAGCAAAGAAAATCATAAACAAAATGAAAAGACAACCTACAGACTGGGAGAAAATATTTTCAAATGATGCTACCAACAAGAGATTAATTTTCAAAATTTACAAACAGCTCATATAGCTTAATATCAAAAAAAAAACACACAAACAACCCAATCAAAAAATGTGCAGAAGAATTAAACAGACATTTCTTCAAGAAGACACACAGATGGCCAACAGGCACATGAAAAGATACTCAATAGCACTAATTATTAGAGAAATGCAAATCAAAACTACAGTGAGGTGTCACCTCACACCAGTCAGAATAGCCATCATTAAAAAGTCTACAGGTAATAAATGTTGGAGAATGTATGGAGAAAAAGGAAACCTCCTACACTGTTGATGGAAATGTAAATTGGTGCAGCCACTATGGAAAACAAGATGGAGGCCCTTAAAAAACTAAAAATAGAGTTACCATATGATCCTGCAATCCCACTCCTGGGCATGTATCCAGAGAAAGCTCTAATTCCAAAAGATACATGCACCCCAATGTTCACAGCAGCACTATTACAATTTCCACTGACAGATGATTGGATAAAAATGTTGTGATACATATAATATACCATGGAATACTACTCAGTCATAAAAAAGAATGAAATAATGCCATTTGCAGCAACATGGATGGACCTAGAGATTATCATACTAAGTGAAGCAAGACAGATAAAGACAAATATCATGTGATATCACTTATATATGGAATCTTAAAGGATGATTCAAATGAACTTATTTATGAAATAGAAGTAGACTCACAGACATAGAAAACAAACATGGTTACCAAAGGGAAAAGGGCGGGGCAGGGAAGGGAGGAATAAATTCTACCATTTAAAGACAACTGCTATTAAATATGACATACAGGCATCTAAACGTTTTTGCTCAACTCTAATAAATACTCACAGTTTTTACTGTATATCACCCTATAGCTGCCTTTTTGTTCCTCTTAATATAGCATGAATTTAAAGAGGAAGAAATAATTGAGCAGAGTTTATTAGATGAGGCAACTCAAATCCCAACTCGAGTGCCTTTTCTCTCTCACCTGCCCTAAGTGGTGCCAGTTTTTAGAGGAAGTCATTTTGGAGGCCGTAGGAGCATATCATCTGTTTATTCAGCAAACACCACCCTGTGTGCTAGGCACAGGGCTGAGGCAGAGTCTATTGTGATTATTGAAGAGGAACAAAAAAGCTTTCCCTATGCTAGAAGTAGTGTGGGTTTGGGATTATATTTTGCCTTCTGTAAAATCACTAAACCAGAAGTGAATGTAGAAAGGAAATGTGATTCTCAAACAAGCCAAGCAATGTTCGTATGTAATTCTCATGGGTAAAAAGACATAGGAGGGCAAAGAAACAAGCTTCTGGTGGGCAAAGAAACAGGAGTTAGTGAGGATCCCACTAGAGGCTCAATTCTGACTCAGAGAAGAGGAAAAATGTCCTCTACCAGGCAAGTTCCTGATAGAACAGGTCTTATGTTTCAATTCCAGCCAAAATATGCCCAATGCCAGCTTCTTAAAAATTGTGTTATTTAAAAAATATCCTTATACATATATAACATAGCTAATATAACAAAAATGAGTAAGTGTGAGTATATTAATCCTTTTTAATAAGTCTTCTTTCATTTATTTTATGGCTTGATTTTCTCTTCTACTTCTAGTTCCAATGGGAGCCCATATTAACAACTTAATATGAAGCCTTCCATTTTTCCCCTATTGCTATATAATCCTTCCTATATTATCCCTCACATAATTGTATACAAATACACATATGTAAAACATGTTTTTAAAATAAAATTTTAAACACATTCTACAGCTTGATTTTCTTACTCAACAAAACTCTGAAAATCCCTCCAAGACAGCTGGGGACACTCTAATGGCTACATTAAGAGCTCATGGTGTTAATGTAACATAATTCATTCAGCAACTCCCTACTGATGGGCTTTCCTTTGATTCCAGTATTTTTGCCTATGAGCAATGTCGCTATAAGTACCTCAGCACATTTAGCCTCCGAGCTGGTATGCTCATTCCTCTGGGGAGGCTGAGCTCCCCAGGAGCTCTGAAAGGCAGCCTCCACATCCAACACTTTAAGTATTGTATGTATGTCAGTTGCAGAATAAGAGCATAGTGTGGCCCTATTTCTACCATCTTAACCCAAGCCACCATCATCTCTTGTGTGGACACTGCAATGACCTCTTAGTTGGTCTCCACATTACCTTTTTAGCCTTTTTCCAATCCATATTGAATATCCCAGTCATAGGAATCTTTTAAAAACAAATTTGATCATTTCACTCCTCTGCTTAAAACCTTCAGAGACTCCTAATTATGCCTAAAATAAAGCCCAAACTCTACCAGGTGTTTCAAGGTCTGCCCCCCAGGCCATTACCACCGCATACGCATGCCCACCTCGCCCACCACATTGCAGCCATCCTAGCCTTCAATCATGCCAAGCTTTTCTTCCCCCTGGATTGTACATTTGTTGTTCCCAGCGTTGCAGTTCCCTTGACTTGCATGTCTCCTCCTCAGAGAGGTCTTCTAATCACCCACCTAGACTAGGATGCTCTAGGAATCCCTTTCACAGTACTACTTTTTTCTTTCTTTCCAGCAGTTGCCACAGTTTGATTTGCTTTTGTTTGTTTGTTTGCATTTCTGGTCTCTCATCTGCCTGCCCACTAGAATGCTAGCTCCGTGATGTCAGGGACCACATCTGCCTTGTTCTCAGCTGAATCTGCAGGCACTTGGCACATGAAAGAGCTCTATAAACATGTAAGAGGCTCTAGTTCCTAGAGCACTGCCTAGAATGTAAAGGGCAATTGGCGAATCTGTTGATTGAGGGACTGGATAAATCTAGAGACTAGATAGCTATGATATGCATAGCTAATACTCGAAAATGTTCTCCCCTATTAATTAAAACTATTAAGAGTGTTTTCCTCTAGTGAACTGATTGTGGGGCAGGAAGGAAGGGAAGACTTAAATTTTTACTTTATAATTTTTATTTTTCTTATAAATAAATTTAACATGAGATCTACTTTCTTAAATTTTAAAGTATGCAATGTAGTATTGTTAACTATAAGGACAACGTTGTACAGCAGATTTATAGAATTTAATCATCTTGCATAACTGAAATTTTATGCCAGTTGATTAGCAATTCTCCATTTCTCCCCTCCCCCTGGCCCCTGGCAACCATCATTCTACTCTCTGATTGATTCTGTAAGTTTGATTATTTTAGGTACCTCATATAAGTAGAATCATGCAGTATTTGTCCTTCTGTGACTAGTTTATTTCACTTAGCATAATGTCTTCAAGGTTTATTTTTGTCTCACATCACAGGATTTCCTTCTTTTAAGGCTGAATAATATTCTATAGTATGTATATACCACATTTTAAAAATCCATTCATCTGTCAACATCCATCAATAGACCTTTAGATTGTTTCCATGTCTTGGCTATTGGGAATAGTGCTGTAATGGACATTAGTGTGCTGGTATCTCTTCTGGATCCTGATTTCAATTCTTTTGGCTAACCAAAAGTAAGATTATATGATCATATGATAGCTATATTATTAATTTGTTGAGGAACCTCCATACTGTTTTACATAGTGGCTGTAACATTTTGCATTCCCACCCATACTATATAAGGGTTCAATTTTCTCCACATCCTCCCCACACTTGTCTTTTGCTTTTTTTCATAATAGCCACCTTAACAGGTATGAGGTGATATCTCATTGTGGTTTTGATTTGCATTACCTGGATTATGAGAGATATTGTTCACCTTTCATATACTTGTTAACCATTTGTATGTCGCCTTTGGAGAAGAGTCCATTCAAGTCTTTTCTCCTATTTTGTAGGTTGCCTTTTCACTCTACTGATTGTTTCCTTTCCTGTGCAAAAACTTTTTAGTTTAATGTAGTCCCATTTTTGCTTTCAGTGCATGGGATTTTGGTGTCATATCCATGAAATCACTGCTGAGACCAATGTCATGAAGCTTTTCTCCTATGTTTTCTTCTGGGAATTCTACAGTTTCAGGTCTTGTGTTCAAGTATTCAATTATTTTGAGTTGATTTTTGTATATGATGTAAGATATGGGTCTAATTTCATTCTTCTGCATGTGGATATACACAGTTT